GCTTTTATATAGCTACAATTAATTATCAATGAAATCGTCGAAGTTAAGTGCAAAGTTTTTTAAAATTTTGTGATTATCTTAAAATACAACTTTTGACCAATGGGTAATTTTCGATTTTCTAATATATAATTAATAAATGATAATAATTGCTGCACAATATATAATTTAAACTATCTTGGAAAAAAATTTTATTAAAATTGCTTTATTTTTCATAAAATTAGATGAGAGCTGAAATTTGGTAAAATTGCGGGCAAATTTGCTCGCAATTGCTTACAGTTTAAGGAATACATTTTAATTATAATTATACTTATAAAAATTAATTTTTTTTATCTCTATTTTGTTTATTATAATGCAAATTTTTATAATAAAAATAAAAAAATTATAATAAATCTTCAAATAAAGAAAAAATATGGTAAGAAAAGTTTAGATTTTATCATATAAAAATTTTAATACTATTTTTACAGATTAATTTCTCATCCAATTTTAATAATCAACCATATATCTAACTTATACAATTTATGACCAGAATGTAGATCAATTTGGCTGTAAAATTATATGATAATCTGGCCAAAATTAAAGAATTTTTTATAGTGTTATTTAGAAATTACAGGCAAATTTGCCTGCAATACTGTTTAAAGGATAAAGTATAATGATCAAATTTTCTTACATTTTTAATAATGTTTCTTTTTAATTGTAATTATAATTTACATTTTTTTTGAAAATTTGGGTAAAATTGTATAATTAAATAAAATTTACTAATAAGTTAAATCACCTAAAGTTAAAATTAGTCTTATATAAGTAATCAAACTTCTATAATTACACTTTTCATAATTGCATCCACTATGTATATTTTCTCTAAATGCACCTTTTAGTTTAATCCCAAGCTTATATGGGCACTTTGCAGTAGAAAGAGATGAAACTACTAAAAAAATAAAAAATGAATTAATATAAAATCTGAACAATTTATAGCATTTAAAATATTTTTGACATATAAAAGAAAATTTGAATTTTTTTAGTAGTTTCGTCCCTTTCTACTGCAAAGTACCCATATAATCTCTAATTATTTTACCTTTATAAATGCACATCCTCTTTAAATGCATTATTTTGAAAATTATACATATGGTCTTAAAGGGTATGCAATTATAGAAGTCTAATTATATAATTTTATATTACTGAAATTTTATAATTTTATATAAATATATAAAAATTTTATTTTTTAAACAACTAACTATATATTTACTAGAAAAATATTATTTTTTATTTTAAATATAATAATATTATTTTACAGAAACTTCAAGTTTTCAAGCAATATTATTTTAATATTATTTTGATAATAATTCAATATCAATTTAATATCAATTTAATATCGATATGATATCAAAATAAAATATTATTATTTTAATATCAAAATGATATTAAAATGATAATAGAAATGACATTGAAACAACATATTTAAGTTTAACTTAAAGATGTCATTTCAATGTTATTTTAATTCTTGATTTAATATTAATATAATATTGAAATAATAATACTTCATTTTGATATCGCATCAATATTAAATTGATATTAAATTAATATTGAAATGATATTAAAATAATATCAAAACTAATACCATTAAGATAAACTTAATGATATCAATTCTATATTGATTAAAAATGTTAAGTTTTTGTAAAGTAATTATTAGTAATAATACTTAAACAATTTTCAAAAATAAAAACTAAGATATATATTTAATTTAATACAAGTTATTTTTTTTATTAATTTTAGTAAACCAATTTACTTTTAATAATATTTTGATATTTATTTTATACAGTATATAATTTTATAAAAACATCTTTTGTTTTAATTTTTTTTCAGTAATGTTAAAAAATAAAATGCAATATAATAAATTTATTTAATTTTTTCAATTTTCTTAATTTCTTTATTTCTTTAATTTATTTGTTTAAATTTTATTATAAATAGTATTAGAATTTTATTTAATTAAAAGACAAATTAATAAGTAAATTAATATTAAATTATAAGAAATATTTGGATTATATTCTAAAAATATTATTCTATAGTGATATAATTCAAAATAGTTTAATTTTACCAATAAGAAATTAATTATATTTTTTATTATATTGTAAATCCTATATTATTTTTAATAAAAATCCAATTCCTTTAATTAAACATTTATTTTATTTTCACTACTTAGCTAATCTGTTAAAACATTAAAATTTTAATCATTAATAGACTAGTGGCATACAATTAATAATTTCAAATTATTGTAAAAAAAAAATATAATAATATAAAAATAAATAATAATTTCTAAGCGCGGTAAAGTCAGTGTTGATAATCATGTGAAAATTAGCCAATAAAATGAATAAATATGGATTCTTACCTTATGCTTTATTAATTTCGTTAAGTATTTTATACATACAAAAAATGACTTTTTTAGATAATGACTTGGTATTAAGTTTTTTTCAACTTTTTCATTTACATTTGTCGTCAATTTATCATTAACTACAGATTGGTATTTTGACTTTAGTTTCTTACGCAACTCGTTAAACTCTTTGAAAAAACAAAACCAACTTCAAAAAAAAAGGTATACCTTACTATGAAAAGATGTAAGTTTGTTCATAAATAAATTAATAAATTGTAATTATTTTTCGAAACTCATGTTTTCTTATTTTTAGATACATGGGAATCACTTAAAACGAAAAAGGAAAGAAAAGAAACAGAAAAAAGTAATGCATCAGATAAACAAGAGGAATTACAAAAAGAAGTTGATGATAAGGAATATTCTTGTTTAGTTAGAGCTGTGTATGGAAATTTTAAAATTAGTACTCTGGTAAGAATTTTAATTATCTCTAGCATAAACTCAACGTGTAATTAATTAAACATTTTATCTTTAGGTTTCACCATCCGATACAGATAAATTTATTACAGGATATAGTAATATACTCAAAGTACATATGGATTCAATGAAAAAGAAAGAAAGAAAGAAGGAAAAATTAAAGGCAAAGAAAATACAAAAAGTCAAAGCTACAATAGCCTAACACATTTTTGGAACAATATTTAATTCCTGAGATTAAACTTACGAATAATAATATGTTTATTACAAAATTCATATGTACTTTACGCTTTTTGATTGATACGATGTCTCCTAGCTTCATCCAATTTTTTGGTATAATCCCATAATTCCTTAGTTAATTTCAACGAACCAAAACTCAGACCAACAAATCTATTTCCAATAAAAAGGCTATTATTAGAGATTAACTTATAGATGTATATGACTTCTAAGCATACCTTGATAGGTTTAGTAGTAGCATTAAGTCTTGTTGGGTCATCAAAGGTGTTCCATTCCTTGAAGCATTCTGTCTTTGAGCAACATAATCTGCCTGAATATACTGAAAAAAATTATTCATGTTAAAACAAATTTTTTTTAAAACAAAAGTAATTGAAGCGCTGATCTTATATCATATATACATCTGAAATATCTTCAGGTATATTAAAATCAATATATCTAAGAATACTAATATAGTTCCTGAATTGGTTCAGCATATCTTCCGACACATCTAAAATTGTTGTGTTCTCTGACTTTTGAATAAGAGGAATGTTACAATCATACTATGCAACGAAAAAATAATCGTAAATATAATATATTAAGTAAAAAGTTGTAATAAATTCAATGTTTAATGTTAAATACTTACACTTAGAAATGTTTTTGCATTGGATAATATAATTATTCCAATATCCGTATTGAATTCATAATTGTTAAAAGGAAACATGTAGTTAAGTTTCTGGTGGTCCATTATGTCGTTCAAAGCTTTCAAATTACGGACCCCTAGCATGAAATATATAAGATTAAATTTATATACAAAATTCATTTATGATTTTTGAAAAACATACCAATGTCACCTAATTTTCCTTCTTTTAATACTGTCTCATCAACTAAAAACCATGTACCCTGACTGACTTGTAAAACACCAGAATCTAGATCATTATTACTATGCGGGAAATAAAATATTTCATTAAGAGTAGATAAAGTAAGTGGAAGATCATGGTATTTAGGTAAAAGTGAAGCGAGAATAGAAGCTACGCGTTTTGCAAATGAATTATTGTGCTCGAGACATAAATGATGGCTCTGCGTATTCTCATTTACTATATTATTGCAAGGTAAATTGCTGATATTTAATACGAATTTTCCAAGCGTCAGACCATTTTGCCGAAGATGTCTAAATTAAAAATAGCTTTATTAGAAAGTTGGTTAAAAAAAAGATCATCCCAACTGGCTTTCTTACATTCGTGATAAAAGTTGTAGCAAAACGAATTCTGCCACTAAATCATCCCCACCAAATGCTGAAGCAATATAATGAATTAAGGCGCTTCTAATATGCATAGCGTCGTTTGGTGACACTTTCGTAACAAAATTTGATATATGAGTACTTATAACAATTAATATAAAAAAAAAACATCATAAAGAATTGGAAATAAAATACCAAGTAAGTTTGTAGTAGAAGATATTAGTGGATTTCCTGTTGGATGAAGCTTTCTATAAAATATTACATGAACACTTGGAATACAGTATGATGCGGTATTTTCACAAGACACATTAAATTCTTTGCATTGCAATTCATTTGTATTTTTTGCTTCTTTCCTATAAAGAATTGGGATATTAATAATATAAGTATCGTGTAACGTTATGTGATTGAGAAATTGAAAAAAATGTTGATAATAGAACAAGCATTGTTTGTTTGTACCTTGGATGATTAAGTACTCCAATAAATTCAACAACATCCGTAACTTTCAACGAATCATCTTTTTCATAAATCTATTATAGTTATAAATAAAGATCAAAATAAACGATAACATTAAAAATATATATATATATTCGCCTTACTTTAACAATAGCTGCCATATGACTTTCTTTCGGAAATGGATATTTTGACGCGACTTCCTTCAAATCAATATTGACTTTTTCATTATTCAAATTAATATTCGCAGTTGATATTACTATGTCTTAAAAAAAAATTTTTTATTATGTTGAAGTAATCAAAATTTTAAAAGTACTTTGATATAAACCTTCAATATCTGTTTCAGAGCTTGATTGAAACCGATTTTGTTGCCTATAAACGTATTTCGAAAGTCAAAGAAATATATTTACATTATAAAATAATTATAAATTATTAAGGATATTTGCTTGGCCCATGATGTTTCTCCGGGTACGGAGGTACAATAAAATAATTGTCTCTCGCTAAATTTGTTATTTATACATTCTAGCATATCGTTCAAATTCTCATCCTATAACAAATTTCAAATATTATTTAGGGTAATACGTAATTTTTTATTATCTATTAAAGTTAAAAATCAATAAAATGATCAAGAATTTTTTATATTACCTTAAAGATAATCTCATCTGAATATTTATGAAATTTCCTTTGCTATTAAAAATTATGAAATATTAATTAATAACTTAGAATTTCCTGAATAAAGAATTAAATTATATAAGTATCAACCTTTACACCATCACGATTAATTATTTCATAAGAACTAACGAACACCTCATGCCCAAATCCAGTATTCTGAATCATAGAGCGAAACCGTATAAGAGTATTCTGCGGAATATCATATACATTTGAAACATCATTCAACGAAGGTATCTTTTTTTGAAATAAAGATTTGTTTAAATAATTAATTATTTAGAGGCAACATAGTGACGAAAAAATAATAATATATATATTTTTTGAACCTGGTTGACACTTTCTTCAGACGCGAAAATAGTTTTAAAGTATGCAGGAATATCAACCGGCTCGTCAGCCTGATCAACAGCCATCTGGTTTCCGGAATTTGATTCAAGTTCTTATTATATCATATAACCTATTTAGATACGCGCTTTACAAGTTAAACTACATATGGTTTCTTTATATAAATAAAATTTTTATTACCAAACAGATATTTAGCGATGTCGAGAGGCTTCTCAATGCATTCAAATCTTGAAAACGTGGAAGCCATTTCTAATCATTAAAAGCGCGAACCAAAGATATACTCCTCTTATTAAAAACTAAATGATTTTATATAGACGCGAGCTAATTTCACGTGAAACGGATGTGGTTGTTAAACAAACCTGAAATCATGTATGATTTCCATTACCGGAACTCTTTTATCCTAAATAAGCGGCAAATGAGTTTATTATAACTTATCTAAGTATATTCATATTTTTTTTTTTTTTTTTTATTTATAGTATGGCTGGGCCGGGTTTTATTAAGTATATTCATATTAAAAATATCAGAGATATTTACATAATAGTAATTTATTTATATCTTTTGGTGGTTAGAACTTAAAACATTTAACTTTTGCCCTTTGGAAACTTTTAGTATTTATAAAAATTTTAAACCTGGTTAATAGATATTCTATGATAAAGAAATTGGTTAATTATTATAGAATGATAACAAGGAATTTATTGAAAGCCCTATTAGATTTTGGATTATTTATAGAAGCAGATAAAGTCTATATAACTTATTTGTTTTGAAGCTTATATTTCTTTATATGCTTGGTCTTTGGATTCTATAATATATATATAAAAGTTGTTTTTTATTTGGCATGCTTTTTCAGTCACATGACTTTAAAGGTTATACCAGAATACAATTTTATTAATTTTTATATATTAATCTGTTGGAATTAGCATTCCTAATAATGTAATGGCCTAAGGTATCTACACTTCCTATTAATTTGACCAATCAATAGGATGCATGTTCAATCTACATAGCTAATGGATTATTAGAATATTACTGCATGTGCAGCCATTAACTGCATTAAAGATTCTATACTTATAAGAAGAACTGAAAAGATGCCTATTGATGGTGAGATGATAGATAAGATCATTGGTAAACTGGTATGATAAGTTCTAGAAATGGTCACTGACTCAAGTTGAACTATTACTCTAATCAGAGTGTTTAGAATGTGATAAAAGACTATTACCAAATAGTTCATAAGGTCTTATAGCATTTTAATACTCAAATTACTCAAATTGGTCTTTAGAGGTTATAATGGTATAGGTGCCCAGTAAAAAGTTCTTGTATCAAATATAGGCCAATTATGAAATAAGCCCATTTGGTATAAAATTTGGTCATATTTATTTAATTTTATCCCATTTATGGTCCAATTTTTCATACCAAATGGGTTCATGTATAAATTCAATACAAACCTAATATGAATTCAATACAGGACTTTTTACTGGGATGGAAATACTAACTATCATAAGGTGGTCTACCAATTTTACAGAGCTATGAATATATTGTGATTAACTCTAATTTTGTGATAATGTGAAGATTATGATAGCATTTGGCAGACTAATACATTATTCTCAGAAATAGGAGAAGTTAAAGGGTAGATTTGAGATTCCTGAAACATTTTCAGAGGACTTTAGTTAGAGATCAGTCTTTCAATTTTTTTTTAAATTTAAATAAATAAAAATAAAAAATCAAATTTTATATAATTATAAATTTTTGATTTTTTTAGCCTTTTTCTTATAATAAAAAAGTGTCTTCTTAATTATTAAATTAATTAGAGATAATGTTCTTATAAATATTAAGGGATACTACCTGTCTACTTTAAATAGAAAGCTAAGTAGAATATTAAAGCAAAAAGTAAATAGTTGATAGAAAACTAAATCAAATAATATTACTAAGTATTGAAATAAAATTTACAATACAGTCGCAATCTATGATGTTATCCTGTCAATGATTAAAGCCGACTGAAAAACTTTAACGCTTTAACAGGTTAACTGGAGTTTAACTTAATAGGAGAGTCTTAAGTTGATCACAAATAATCACGTGAAATAATGTTGAATGTTCAGTTAAAGAAAATAGGTTTTTATTAAAATAATATAAGATTTTGAATACGACAAAAATATAGATAATCTCTTGGTTACAAAATTAACTATTTTGAATTATACTACTGGGAATAATACTCTTTTCGTATAACTCAAAAACTACAATACAATTCTTAACTAACTAACTGACCTCTCCTTCTACTTAGCAAAATCCTATCACTATTTATAATAAAGTAAAAATCAAGAATATTTGATAAAATAAATAAATCAAATATAATAAATAAATAAAATAAATAAAATAAAATAAATAAATCGAATATATCAAATTTATCAGATTTATCAGATTTATCAAATAAATCAAGAAAATCAAGAAAATCAAGAAAATTGAAAAAATCAAGGGATCTATGAAATGATCTACAAAATTGATCTACATAAAATTACTGCGCCACATTTCTATTTTAACACTTTCCCCCCTTAAAGAACAAACTCCTGTGAGTCTTTAAATTTCCAATACCAATTGCTTAATTTCATTTTGTCTTAAAGATCTTATTAAATTAACAGTAGTATTAACAGTACAATAAATTTGAATAGAATTTGTCTCAAAAATATAATAAACACGAACGGAAATCCAGTAATAATATTCTGAGACTATTTGCCTAACTTGCTTCTTTGTTAGTTCCTTTTGTTCAATAAGCTGTCCTAAGAAATATGCGAAAACTAAAACTGGAATTCTTTGTTTTAGTCATTGAGCTCTTAACAAACATCGGTATGTCACATGAATTTTTGTTTTATCATCCATTTCATCTGAATAAGGTTCATCTTGTAATTCGTGAAAACTATTTCCTTCAGTTAATAAGTCTTGTAACACAATTTCGTAAGGCGTCATGATGAGAAAAAGTGAATTATAACAAAATAAAATGCGTCTTTAAATAAGAATTTTATTGTCGCACTTAATTAATTAATATTATTAATGATTGACTACTAATTTCAGTAGATCGTGACATTATTGTTTCACTAATTTAGTTTGATTGATCTTACCCTTAAATTAGTTAATCGTGTATTACTATTTTGAAACATTTCTTCTTGTTCTAAAAATAACTTTTTCTTCTCCTTAATTATTTCCACGTATAATTATTATCAGCTGTTACTGAATTTTTCGCGTTATTTTTGTTATTTCAACTAGAATGTATTTTTTTGCATCGTGTCTTTTTTTTATTTAAGAACCTAATTTTTCCTTTCCCCTTTTTTTCGCTTCTTCGCAAAATCTTTTGCTTATATTACTTTTGTCAAAACTTATATAATTCCCTGAACACCTTATATTAAAATGCCGTGCCGTCATTCAAAAACTTCCTCCAAAAAATTACAAGCTCAATTTAAGGCTCTAAAGGCTGCTCATAAATCACAAGTTCATCAATTTAAGGGTGAGTATTGCACGCAAGGTTCTTAAAATGTTTCTTAAACGGGGATAGCCTACAGACGGGGTTTTGATCTTATATCCAGTTCTTGAATGGTTGATTTCTCTTTTTGGCTTGCAGACGGGATACTTGTACCTCTAGGATATTTAGTCTTGAATGGATTCCCACTGTAGAACTTTTTTGGGCTATCGATTTATTCACTTAGTCTTTGACTAACTTGGTGTTTCTACTTTCCTATTTAATAACACAAAATCAAGTTCAATCCTTACAAAAAGAAGTTACAACTCTGACGGAGTTTGAAATTTTACAATCTGAGCAAATTCGCCAACAAGAAGAAGAAACGCAATTCCATAATGAACTGTGGGCTATCGTCCAAAAAGAATGTTGGGAAGCCCAGAAGAAGGTTATACAGCAAGATAAAGAAATCGTCGAACTAAAGAAAAAATTAGGTCAACTAAAAAAAGACTATGAAATAGCTACTCTTACTTGGCACGCTCCTGTTAGTCATTTTTTTCAAATACCAGAGCGTTTAATGGAATATAAGTCTGATGAAGATTTGACTGATTCCTCCTTTTCTACTACTTCCTATGACTAGATATTTGTTGCCGATGGTCTTGAATATGTTGATGATAATAATAATAATGAACAATTATAATTTTCTATTTTAATAAAATTATTTTTAAACTTTGTATAATTTTTTAAATTATAATTATTGGTTCTAATCTTCGCTCATGATATTTCTTAAGTCTATTCCCATGAATTACATGTTTAACTAATTTTCCGTCTAAATTTCTAAGTTTATAAACATTATCATTAAGTACTTCATGAATAAAATAAGGTCCTATCCACTTATTTTCTAATTTTGCTGAGAAATTATTTTTAAGCCACGTTTGTTATACTAAGACTTGATCTCCTATTTTTAATTTTTCTGAAATTCCTTGTTGATCATACACTTTTTTTGCTTTGCTTGTTCTCTTTCAATTCTTAACGAAACATCATTTCGGTCTTCTTCTAATTCAACTATTAATTGATAAATTCGTCCCTGCATTGGGTCCTTTTCATTTTGAGATATTTGTGATGGGATTTTTAAATCAATTGGTAAAGTTGCTTCTTGTCCATAAGTTAAATAGAATGGTGTTTTTTCCGTAGTGTTATGTTTTTTTGTTCAATATGCCAAAAGTACTGCATTGATTAATTGATCCTATTCCTTATTATTATCTTGAACTAATTTTGCAATACATTCACCAATTGTTCGATTAAATCTTTCAACTATTCCATTCGTTTGAAGCCTATAAGCTAAGATAAGATGATGTTTAGTTTGATAATTTTTACATAATTCATCAATTAGTTCATTCATAAATGATGTTCCTCTATCCGATAGTATTTCTTGTGGAACTCCATGTCTACAAATAATTTCTTCATAAATAAATTAGCTACTGTTTCTGCTTTAATATTGGATATCGCTCTTGCTTCTGGCCATTTTGTAAAATAATCCATAGCAATAATAAGATATCTATTTCCACTACTGGCAATTGGTAATGGTCCTTTAATGTCAATTCCTATTCTGTGAAATGGTCCCTTAACTGGTATTGGTATCAGTTCTTCTCGCCAATTGGTAGGTCCTCTTCTTTGACAAATATCGCAAGTTCTTATATATTCTTTTACATCTTCTCCTAATTGTGGCCAATAATATCAATCTTTGATTTTTCCAATTATAGCTAGAGCTCCGAATGGGTCAGGTCAGGTTAGGTTAATTGATAAACCTGACCTGAAATTTTTTTTCAGGTCAGGTCAGGTCAGGTTATATCAGGTTGTCTGTTTGACCTGACCTGACCTGAAACCTGAAAAATTTCAGGACTATTTTTATTAAGTATTGAAAAAAAACAGTACAAAACTTTTTTTTTTTTAATATAACATTATGAAAAAAATGTTTTCGCAACATTATTATTGAAATATCAAAAAAAAATGTTACGAAACATTTTTTTAATATAATATTATGAAAAAACGTTTTCGCAACGTTTTTTCTC